GATGATCAGTCCTTTTGTCACTTGCACGGGTTGATTATATTAATCGATGACCGGCCTCGTGATTGCGGATGCCCGTGAGCCGTGTCCACGCGACGCCGGCGTGCGATGCGTGGTGAGCTTGAGCCGCCGGTGATGCTGTATCCCGAGATGTCCTGGTTGAATCGCACTGCTGAGTTCCCTCTTTGTCCACACTGAGTCTGTCCGTGATGAAGAAAGTCCACTATAGCACTTGAGAATCGTTAGCACTACCCGACGCGTGTACTATGTATCGTAGCCATGAGCGAAAAGACCCCGGAAACGAGCGTGAAGAAGCGCGGTCGCCTCGCGTCGCGATCGGGCATGCGCGCGCAGCGCCCCTGTGGCGCTGCAAGCTCTGACCCGGCTGATGCTGCCATCACGCCGGTGACGAACAGACCGAGATTCATAACTGAATCCGGAACAGTAACGTATTTAAATTACTGTAACTTTTCCAAAGTTACAATGGTTAAAATTAAGTACTTTGGAAAAGTTACAGTGATTTTAATACGTTACTAGAACAGCATATGTATGTCCCATTGGGGCTGAAAGGGTTAAGTTGATAATTATAGCGAATATCTCAAAATGGCATAAGACTTTTTTGTTCCCCTTGATCCCTTCCCCCAATAGGATTCGGACCCCATTTATGAGACACCCCGTATATTCTATTACTCCCTTTCATTTTTTCGTTAAAACGTTAATTCAGCATGAAAATAATTATTATACTTTTAGTTATCAATATTACATTAATATGATAAGCATTTACTGAAAGTTACATGTTTATAATATTATTTATTTAATAAACTATATACATTTTTGTTTTAGCTAATAGAAATGTGAATGTAAAATATAAACATACAACTTACTGTGATTGTTTGTTGGAATATCTTTTTCTTCCTGCACAACAACAGGTAAAGTGTCAATATCAAGTACATGTACGTCATTATTACCGATGTTTTCACTTGCATAAACATCTGAAAAATTCCTCTCTAATTATATAAACTATACATTTCTCTTATAAAGATATAAGTTCGCTTGTTTATATGCATCAACACAAACACAGAGTGACAAACACATATTGCATATAAAAAATTGTATACACTCAATATTATTACGTATAAGGAATATTGATCCTACCTTGCTCATGTACTATTTGATTTAATTCAGGAATGGAATCATTATCACTGCTGGCTTCCTGCTCCATCTCACTCGAATCGTTACAATTGTCTGTAAAATATTTTCAATACAAAAATAACTTGTAACATAATTATTAAGAATACAACTTTCACACAACCATCAAGTACAATTTTTTATACCTTTTGCTTGTGACATGCGATATGTCTTTTTTTTTCTTCTTTGCCCACGACCTAACTGAACTTCTGTTCCAGTATTACTCTTTTCCTCCGTTAATCTCTTCTCCTTTTTTAAAGCTTGTTCGTACGAATCTAAAAACACAATCAATGTATAATATATATAGGTACACACACATATACAGAGTATCCCAGGAAATGGATAAAAACCGCAATGGGGGGCATAGAACATTAAAATGGACAAAAAATATCCCATACCGTTTTTCGATTTTCCCAATAATTATTGAGTTATTAATTAAAGCCACAAGGCGTCTCAACTAATGAGCGTTCGCGCTGAAGACGTTTCGCTGAGCTCCTAAAAGTGGCCCACCGGTGTCTTGCCGCGTGCTAGCAGCCAGACAGAGATAATAGAGGTCTTTTTTTTTAGTTGAACTGGCTACACTATATCTCAATTTATCTTTCTCCTTCCAATGTGGACGGAAAAAGATGTACTCTCAACTAGTGCAGCTAGTTCAGCTAAAAAGAACAAACCTAATGTGAGCCACGTTCTCCAGCCGCGCTTATAGCGACTCACATAAACGACTTGAGCGCGCACGCTCACTGCCTGAGATGTTATAATTAATGCCTCAGTAATTATAAGGAATATCGCAAAACGGATGGTCATAACTTTGTTCATTTTATTCCATTATACATCCTGAATGACATTTTTTACCCCTTTTCTGGGACACACTGTATATAAAGTGTTTATTAATCCACGCCCAATATTTATATACTATCATATAAGAATATATATTCCTCATAGAAAGTTGAAAAGTTGTAAGCTCCATATATAGGGTGCGGAAAATAATTGTATAAGAAATAATATACCCAGATAGTCAAATCTGCACAAACACATTTCGAGCAAAGCCTGCTACAAATTGTTGATGTCACAATTAAGGGCAACAAATAAGATGCAGGATCTGTTATATCAAATTATGTTGCCAAACTGCCGCCAGAAATGTGACAGATCCTGTTGATAGGCATTTCCGAACATATTATCAGCAGAAACCGAGCAGAACCTATTGCGTATAATTTGACAGTAGGCTCTACGCGATTTCTGCTGCCAATCTGCTGCCAATATTACCTCAGCCAGGGTTTGAACCTGGACCTGGACCTCCCTACACTCTAGGCGGGCGTCTCACCAATTCACCAGTTGAATTATCTTTTTAACAATGTATTATATTAAATCCGAACTGTAGTAATTTACCTCTCTACCTGCGTTTACGTAACAATTCTAATTATTTGAATATTAGCTAATATTTATAATTTTTTCTTACATATATATAATAATTGTACATAATCTTCGTCAATAAATAGACGTAAAGACGGTTACGATAGGTTATATGGTAGTGCGAAGAGGAGCGAACAGCAGCGAACAACAACGAATAGCACATCGCGCACGAATTGTCTTTGATGTACCTCAGGAGGGAATCGAGCCGAACGCGAATCGAATGTTCTATTCGCATTTGCTTTGACGTATACGTCTTCCGAATGATAAAAACGAACGTTCGCGTTCGCTATTCGTTCGCTAAGTGTATACCTAGTTAAAGAACGAACAGCTTCAGAAAACAAACGCGATCCGAACATTCGCGTTCGCTGTTCGTTCGGTGTTCGTTTCGTACACGGAGAGACCGATATGGCTGCCACATGTCTAATTAGGGTTGGCACAACCCCAATAAATAGTAATATTTGGGACAGCTATATCTGTGGCTGTCATACCCACATTGGTATGATAAATAGTAGAGACAACTATATGCGTCTTGTGCAGCAAACTTAGTGAATGTTGCAACGCAAAAGAATGTAGATGCCCCTGCTATTTATACGGTAACATTTTAATTTTAGTTATTTTTGCCTTAGCCGGTCTTTCCGTGTAGATGTATACCCAGTTTAAGATTGCTTATCTTTTCTTTGAAAGATGCTATCTTGTACTATTCTTGATGAGTGCAAAGTGATGTAACCAATGAATATAATGAAATTACTATTACATATAGTTATTCGAAATTTTACTTGTGGTTGTTATTGCAATATTCATAGTACACCTTACCAAATTAAAAGCTCGTTTTGGTTTATGACAACCATATCATAAGTTGCATGGACCAATATTGTGTCTATGAGAACTATAATACATTGTTAGGTCAACCATAACTCATGTAGTTGGAAGAATTATAAAAATATGGTTGGGTCCAAAAATGACTATAAATTATAGTGAGATTGTGGTAACTGCAACTATTTTTTTCTCTCTGTGTAGATTCACGATTTTCAGAAAGATTTAAGATTTACAAGTTAGGCTACCTACATCTTGCCTTGCGACCCACATTGGCGTGTTACCATATATTGTTTAGTTTAAGGTCATTCGTTATTTTCAACAATTAAGAATTTGTGAATTTGTAACGTAAATTTTTACTAACTCCATTACTTCCTATTCGTACCGTGCGTATGCACGTTACATCTTAACGGCTCTTCCAAAATCCTTTCTATTGAATATGGCCTTGTACATTCCATGTATCGATGTAACCGTTGTGCATGGTCAATCGTGCGATACTTGACATACTTGCAAAAACAATGGGAATAATCTCTATAGTACAGGTGGCGCGAATAAAAAACATCTTGCGGAACGGGTTGAGTCGCAGAACACGCCTTGTTCCTTGTTTAAGCACGTTATTTGCTGCATTTATATCCATCTTCATATCTTATATCCTATAACTACAGTTGCTAAAAGTTTCAGTTGACAATGTTGCGCCTTCTCGTACTAGTGGCCCTTCCTTTCTGGCTCGGGTAAGAAATAATGTTTATCTCTCATTTTTTTCTCTGTCTCTTGCGCTATAAAGATTCCCCATTGTGATTCAACCATTTTCTTCCAATAAAATTGAACATTTTCGAAATGTTCGCGGCTATAAGATGGCTTGCTTACTAATATTATTATATCATTATATTATTATACTATGTTAATACTTGTAATTCTAAAGATAATTACTTGTATCATTATGTATCATATCGTATCGTATTTCATCGATATTTTACTAACAATAAATTGAGAATGTGTTACAAGCGCGATTATATCCCTACTTTTAATTTAACAAAGCAAAATCGCAATGACAGATATAAAATTTTTTATAAATCACCTTCCTGAGTAAGTTCCGAGAAATATTAATTACATATCAATATTTCCTCTCGTAAAAAAAACCTAAAAATAAAATCTCTATAAATTCTAATTAAATAAGACTAATTGTAACTCTGAATAACTTGGCTCCGATATATTCATTATTACTATCGCACTGCTTGTTACATAATGAGTTTATGCACACGATATTGTGTTCGCGATATGTTCACATTCTCTAGATAAGAGCTGTATCGCACAAAATTGTAAGTCTTCTGGGACTCGATTCTTGAATATATTCGAAGGAGAAACGTATGCGAAAATTCTGCTCTTACAGAAAAGTCGCAAGTTGATTGGCTATTCGCATGGCTTTAACCAATCGACTTTCAACTTTTCTGTCAGAGCAGAATAGTTCGTATACGTTTCTTCTTTGAATGATTTCGAGAATCGGGCCCCTGGTAATATCCGAGCAATATACAATCCTACGTAGCAACACGTATTTTATCGCTTCACCAATAGGCATTCGAGTATTATGAGCCTCAGCCTCGCTATAATTTCATATGATTAAAACCATGTAGCAAAATATACTTTTGATGAAAAATACGAAGCAATACATTTTTCTCTAAAAAAGTTTTTTAAAATTACGTACATTTGGATATACGTGGAAGGAGAAGCTGCAATTACAACATAAGATAAAACATATTCAAATTATATTTTCTTCAAATGTTTTTTTAATACCATATGCTTTCTCTTACTAAAAATCTTGCATGTAATAATTTTACCGGTTTCACGCAAAAGCAGAAAATATTTTTACAAAAATCGTGCAAGAGATTATCCATAAATTTTTGTCAAATTCTTACATACGCACTGAAAAAAATTAATGTACTTTTACATGGAAATTACTTGTTCAAATCCGGAAAATTACCTAATTATAACTGTAATTTTTTTTCCAGATTTCTTAAAGTGAAAATACATATTAATGGTAAAATATAGGTGAAATATAGGTGAAATTACTATTTTTGTGTAAAAACTTGAATTTTCATGCAAAATTACAGAAAAAAGTCTGCAATTTTCCATGTGGGTAGTAATATTGCATGATTATGCTGGGTCGGAAAAAATCCAGCATAATCATGTAATTTTACAAATATTTTTTTCAGTGCGGGTTTTCAACGGATTTTTTCTTCGAAAGGTCTGAGTCTTTCGAATCTTTCGTTGAATCTGACGTCGTTTTCGCTTGCCTCCACTCTTTTCGATCGGTTTCAAACTGTTCCTTGTCGAATACACGATACTGTGAAACTGACGAAGAGCACGTTATGTAACGAATTGATGCAATAACATTATTTTGTAGACGTTAAAAAATTATATAAAACAAATAATTATTTAGATACCATGCATTCTTCGTTATAAATTTAATTGGATTCTTCTAATTGAAATTACACTTTTCGTATCTCGTTTAGTACTCTGTGATCGAAACTATTCCCCCAAAGATGTACAATGTCAAAATCAAGTTTAGTACAATATTATTACGATGTCATATATAACACTACAATAAAATTGATATTGCTCTTATCACTAAAACATGGTTTCATCCGAACACACATTTGAGCTTTCCAGATTATGATCTTGTGATTCTAATTGAATTGCTGCTGGCGGTCTAGCGGTTATAATTAATAAGTCCATTAAATATGTTACTCTGCTTCCTTGCAATATGCAGGGCTGTGAAATGCTTCTGGTAAAGATTATTCTTGGGGTATATTACAGTATATTATAGTATATTTATCTTGCATCGTTTAAATGTCACTACTTTCCTGAAGTTTAAAAAAATGATTGTAAATTTCCCTAAATCGGCAATATCAGAATCTTTTCTTTTTCGATCAATTATTGATTTACTAAGCACGTTTATGGTAATAAGGTATTTGAAAGAATTATTCTTCATCAAATAAACTCACATTTGACAGCCAACAAGATGATTATTAATGAACAGTTTAGATTTCACTTTTGCCATTTCACAGTTTTGCAGTTGCTCTGCGTTTCGGAGTTCTTTGTTATAAGAATTAATAAGAATCAGAACTGTTGGGTTTTCTATGGGATATGGATCGGTAATGGCGAGAGTGTATGATTATTATCAGTCTTCCTATTTTTTAATTAAAATTATTTGTAGCTATCTCATAAGACAATCAT